TATACTAAAGAGCTTGACAACTAGTTTGCGGTAATGTAAAGAGATAGAGCAAGATGGTTATACCGACGAGTCATGGAATGAATCAATCAATCACAAGAATGAATACCAATGAAGACCAATCACCTCGGAATCAAATGATGACACAATGATTTTTTTTACCGAGGTTCACTTGCTTGCCGGCAAGCTAGTTCTCATTGTGGCGATTCACTCACTTGGAGGTTCACGCGCTAATTGGCATCATACGCCAAACCCTCAATAGGGTGTTGCACAACCAACACAAGATGAGGATCACATAAGCCACGAGTAATTTACTAGAGTACCTTTTGGCTCTCCACCAAGGAAAGGTCAAGAACCTCTCACAATCACCACGATCGGAGCCAGAGACAATCATCAACCTCCGCTCAACGATCCTCACTGCTCTAAGCCATCTAGGTGGCGGCAACCACCAAGAGTAACAAGAGAATCCTACAGCGAAACACGAACACCAAGTGCCTCTAGATGCAAACACTCAAGCAATGCACTTGGATTCACTCCCAATCTCACAAAGATGATGAATCAATGATGGAGATGAGTGGGAGGACTTTGACTAAGCTCACAAGGTTGCTATGTTAATGCAAATGGCCAAGAGAGTAAGCTTGAGCCGGCCATGAGGCTTAAATAGAGAGTCCCCACGAATAGAGCTGTTGGCTCATCAGTCCACTGAAAATTGAGGCGATCGAACGCAGAACCCCAGCGTCCGGTCGCGTGATGCACACCACGTGGCCCCTATTTCAAATGCTGATCGTCTGATCTCAACGGTCATCAGTGCATTTAAGTTGTGACCGGACGCTCTACAGTGTAGGACCGAACACAGGACCCCAGCGTCCAGTCATTTCCAGTAAGGTTCCAAAGGCAGAAATTTGCGACCGGACGCATCCGCTCAAGCCCGACCGGACTCACCGGCGCCCTATACAGAAAAGACAGGGTTTCATAGAGTCCACCAGACGCTGGTCACGCAGTGATCGGACGCTGGGTCCTGCGTCCGGTCAGTGGCGCGCAGTGAAGGTCGTCCTCGGTCTTTTGACCGGACACAAGCGACCGAACTCTGGCTAAACACTGTTCAGCGTCTGGTCCTTCTGATGTGGCAGCGCACAGAGCAGACCGTGAGTGACCTGACGTCAGGCAAGTCCGGTCGGGCTTGATCGGACGTGTCCGGTCGCGAATTTCTGCCTTTGGAACCTTACTGGAAGTGATCGGACGCTGGGGTCCTGTGTCCGATCCTACACTATAGAGCGTCCGGTCACAACTTAAGTATACTGATGACCATTGAGATCAGACGATCAGTATTTGAAGCAGGTGCTACGTGGCGTGCATCGCGTGACCAGATGCTGGAGTCCTAAGTCCGGTTAATACGACCGGAGTGTCCGATCGCCTCGAGCTGTGCCCAGTGAAGGGGTACAATGACTCTATTTTCGTGGGGGCTATAAATAGAAGATGGTTTCAGCCATGGCTGTTGCAGAGCACCTTGGGAGACTTTGTGTCCATGCTTGAGAGTGCTTGGGAGCCCTCTATCTCACATATGCTTGATAGTGATCATTCGATTGTGTGAGAGAACGATTCTAGTGCGATTGTATCGTGAGGTTGCATCGAGTGGCACTAGGTGATTGAATTGCAAGCCGGTGGTGCTTGTTACTCTTGGAGGTTGCCACCTCCTAGACGGCTTGGTGGTGGTCTCCGTCGAAGCCCGCAAGAAGCTTATGCGGTGCTCCAGAGAAGAGCTTTGTAAGAGGCATTATGCTCACCCCGCGGGAGACACGAAGAACAACTCTAGTAAAGTGAGACGCGAAGGGCGACAAGTGGGTTTATCTTTTTTCATGGAATATAGAAATAGCTTTTCATTTTAATGCCGAGTTAAACTTTGGTAATTAATATAAAATAATGTAGATATCAAAAAATTATGAAACAAATTTTGTTAGGTTCTTAAAATTATACTCTATCTGTTAGTGTATTTAGTTTATATACGTGCTTGTTGATACCAGGAGCTATTAAATCATTTGAGAGTGCACAATATTATTAAGTTAATTATTGTAGGATTTTTTGTGGTAGATTGGTAATAGAAAAAACCCTGAAATTTTTATAATAGCTTCATTGTATTATTATGTGCTCACTGTAATTTTGGTAGCCCTAAAATAGACTATTTGATATGGTAGCTAAATACCCATTAAAGCTAAATGAATAATGACATGATATTGGTTTAAAAAAATTAAGCACTTGTAGGGTGAGCTTGGAATCTATTTGGTAGAGATAATGATTAGCTTAGTATCTTAGTCATTAGAGCTAGCTTAGTAGCTTAGCATGTGTATTCTTATTTTAAAAGTTGCTGTTGCCAAAATACTAAGTGTTACATCATCGTTGCATGCATGTAGAGAACGAGTTGGTGGAGTTCATGACCGCCAGAGAGCAGGAGTACGAGGAGGTGATCGAGGAGTACGAGGAGGAGGTCCTTGTGCAGGAGGAGGTCTCAGAGCCGTCATTGACTGACTTAGCTGACAATCCGTCTGTCCAAGGCAAGCCCGATGCATAACCCTTATTTTGAATAATTTATGGATATATATGTCTGATGTGCATTTATGTTACAGGATTTATATTGAAACTACATGTATAGATAAAGCTACCTATAAGTCCTACTAGCATAGGTCGAGTAGTTGCTATGCTTGGACTATCGGTAGCGTGAGTAATCTGCCGTTACTCACAATAGGTGGTTATTATTATTATTACTCTCATGATAAAATGGTGAAAGGAAATGGAGACCGAGCAGGGATATGGAACGTGTATTGGTGGGTATAATAGGTTGTGTCTCGTGATCAACGGGACGTAGCTTGGTTACACTGTTTTTCCTGTCCCTGTCGGTTAAGGACCGTCCGTTGCTGTGGATTCTATTCATGTCACAGACTTATTATCCTGAGCACATACTTGCTTATGGGAGCGGGAAGACTCGTTGCTCTCTTGTCGTGGGTTCTGACTCTTTTCGGACCGACTGATTGGAGGCAGGGATGGTGGAGGTCTAAGCACCACACTTCGTTCGGGACTCAGGAGTGGGGGCTTGGAGTCCAAGTTTAGACAGGACCTAGACCCCTTGACATGAGAGTGGTGGGTTAGTCTTGCTTGTGTCTGTGGTACAAGCGGGGTGTGTGTTTCGGGATATCCAGCTGGGATACATTGGTTCGCGAATTGCCATGTGATACGGTACGTCTTGGCTATGATCTAGCACCGTAGTAAGAACTGAAAGATGAAAGTGCGTGAATGGATATGATTGCTCAATTCTTGCTTGAGAGTAGAACATGTGCTTACATAGAATGGTTAGCTAATAAACTAATCATGATTGCTAATAAGACACATACATAAGGATTCACTACTAGTAATGCTTTTCGCAAAGAAAAAGGAAACCCAACAAACCTTAAAGCTTATCATATCCTTGGAGTCGGAAAATTATTCCCACTAGTCGGGTAAGTCTTGCGAGTACATTGTGTACTCAGGGTTTATTTCCCCCTGTTGCAGGTGCAGCTTGAGGAGTGGCTGTTGTGTGGAGGATTCTTCTGGTGGGCACCGACGAATCCTTGTATCTTATCGTTAGATGTTTATTTCAATTCCGCTTTTTAAATTTCGCACTCTGAACTTGGTATTGTAATAATGTATTTCTAAAAACTCTTATTGTATGAAATGGACTAAGTATTATAAACTCGCTCTCTTTATTGGATCCTGGATGAAAAACGTGGATTGTTCGAGTTCTTCCTTGGAGTGTGCTCGACGAGACCGTCCGATGTAGCTCCCTTTCGAGGTGCTGAGCGTCTAGTGGAAGACGAGCGGCTCCGAAAGCGTGTTATTTCGGGTGGTTCTGCCACACAGTCCCACGCGGTGGCGAACCCGCATGGCCCCACCCCGACCCCGACCTTCAGCGGCAGGTCGCCCACGCGGTGGCGATCCCCGGTGGCCACGTCCCGACCTCCGCCATCTACGCTGCAAGTGCTCCGACGGCATACCCACGCATAAGACTAGGGGCAAATCTGACTTGGGCAGGTGCTAGGGCCCACTTGTGCAAGGTAAAGCTAGAATAACCTACTATTTTTAGCTTTACTCTAACTATTGTCTTTATGAGAGAAGGAGAAAAACAGCTTTATTTATAAAACTATTTTAGATATGAGTGTTTGACGAGAAAAAACAGCTCACGTTATGACCTTTGCCGAACAGACCCACGATATAGCACCACACCACCAGAGCCAAAAATGGGACAGCAACTTTTGGTCCCGTCTCCCGTGTCAGGCCAAGCACCTATAACACGACAAGAGTCCCCGACGCGATACGATGAAAGCGGAAAGCCAGCACAACACAATGCGGCCACGCCGTACGCGCGGAAAGTTTCGTTTGCAAAGGATGTTGTGGAGAATAATGACGGATTAGCCCACCCACGGCCACGGGCCACGGCGGCGCACTTATCCGCGCTACTCACAAACGGCTAAAAAGTCCCTGCGCCGCACCGCACGGTGGTAGCGTCCTGTGGGCTGCCGCTTGATTGCCTTGTGTGGACGACGGGCAGGCCGGGCGCGCGAGGGGCGACGAGTGCGAGAGCGTGCCGCCCCGGCCACCTCGGGCGCTCGGCTCGCGCTCAACGTCAACGAGATACCGGATGGAATCCGCGGTCCGGCGCGCGCCCGGTCCGAATGCGATAGCAGGTCCACACCACCCCGCGACCCCACCGGCGATTTGCGCGCGGATCACACGCGTTGCGACAGCCTCCTACTCCCTCTCTCTAACAGTCGAACTGTGGGCTGCATCACTGCGTGCGGGGGCAGCCTCGTCATTTCGCCCGACGCCACTTTATAAACGACCCTTGGTAAACCCTACGGCTAAACCAGCCCACCAAACAGCCCAGGCCACACCGAGCAAGCACGCCCGCGGCCTGCCCGCCCCCGGCCTAGTGCGCACTGTCCCCAGCAACCCCCGCCACCTTAGCGCCCGACGGCATGTCTGTCGCCTCCTCCCACCACCTGCGGCCGTCGCTGGCGGGCCCGGCCCGGCGCCCGGGCTGCGCCGCGGCGCCGCGCGTGTCGCTCTGGCCAGCCGGTGCCTCGCCTCCGTATCGCGGCCGCTGCACCGTCGTGGCGGCGGCGGCGCCTGCCGCGGGCGCCGGCGGCGGCGAGGCAGCCTCGGCCCCCGCCGCCGTGTCGGCGGTCGCCCCCGCGGCCGCCTCCAGGGACAAGTAAGCGGACCCCCTTGCCCGCCGAAATGCTGGCTCCGTGTTTCTCAATCTCTCGCGGCGCGCGGGACTGGTGCTGTTTTGTTTGCGCACGCGCCGCCTTGTCTGTTTCTATTTTCTTCTTCTGATGAGGCTGGTCGGGTTTCTGGCGCCAAATGCAGGGTGCGGCGCCACACGATTTCGGTGTTCGTCGGGGACGAGAGCGGCATGATCAACCGGATCGCCGGGGTCTTCGCCAGGAGAGGCTACAACATCGAGTCGCTCGCCGTGGGGCTCAACAAGGACAAGGCCCTCTTCACCATTGTCGTCTCCGGGACCGACAGGGTGCTCAACCAAGTCATTGAGCAGCTCAATAAGCTTGTCAACGTCCTTGCTGTGAGTCCGCCTTCTCAAAATTTAGCAGAGTCACGCGAATCCATACTTGAGTTTGATGTCCCCAATTTGAGCACCCGGTGACAATTCTGTAGTACAGTGAGATTTTGTTCCATGAGTTTAGCTCGCCCGAATCTTCTGTCCTTTTTATTCTGTTATAGGATCGTTTCCACTTTCGTGGAGCATCTTTTGTATAGCTAGACAGAACATGCGTAACTTTTTTCTTTCCTGATTTGGTCATAATCACCTTCAAAGTATTCTTTTCCCTTTCCCCCGGAATCGCTGCCAGCCTGACAGTCATGTCAACGTCAGGGACATACTCCTTTCTAGGGATATACCTCAAATGCACATCATTATTATACGCCCTGTATTATGTTTATGTAATGCACTTTCTGTTTGTGCACCTGTGCCGTGTATAGTAAACACAGTTGCTTTGGTTAATCATTTGAAGAAAAAATAAGATACTTGACTTCATTATTCTGACTATGTGGTAGTACTTATTTAGTTCAATTTTAATGCTACCCTGTACATGTCTATATCCTATAACCTAAAGCAGCCTTTCAGTTAGGAGTTATTCTGAGTTTTCTTTGTTCTTGCGATTTGAAGATGCTGATTTCTTGGGGAAAAGATTTATTGTTCTCTCTGAATGTACTATGCAGATATTACATTGCTTTACTTTCCTTCTGAATTCTTAGCCACAAAAGCTTCATGGATTACCATTCCTTCACTGTTTGTGTCAACTAAACATTTAGATGGTTTTAACTACCATGATATTCTCTCTCTGAAAATTATTTACTACTACTATTTTGTTGCCAATTTGCATTAAGATTAATATCAATTACAGGTTAGAAGATTTATCTAAAGAACCTCAGGTTGAAAGAGAGCTGATGCTTATAAAACTAAGCGTTGAACCTGATCAGCGCCCTGAGGTATGATGTAGCGTTGAGTTAGTCTTTGTAATCCAAAAGTTCAATTAGCATCCTGTACTCATGATTCTCAATTGCATGGTGAGCCTTACAACGGTGCTTCTTGTCATGATTGACAGGTCATGGTTTTAGTTGATATTTTCAGAGCAAAAGTTGTTGATATATCTGAGAAAACACTTACCATAGAGGTGAAAACTCAATCTCTAACTAGTGTACATATTTTGATTGGTATCCATTTTCCTGTACTGAACTGTATGTTTAATGGGCATTTGACCAATGTTAGGTAGCTGGAGATCCTGGCAAAATTGCTGCAGTGCAGAGGAATCTAAGGAAATTCGGAATCAAAGAAATTTGCAGGACAGGAAAAGTAATTTCTAATGTTCTTTCCTTGCATGGACACATTTTTTTTCCTGTAATGCTAATTTAATGCCCTATCTTCTTAGATTGCTTTGAGACGTGAAAAAATTGGTGCAACAGCCCGTTTCTGGCAATTTTCTGCTGCTTCTTACCCAGACCTTATAGAGGCATTGCCGAAAAATCCAATTACATCTGTAAATAGGACAGTGAATGGCAGTTTTGATCAACCATCCAATGCTGGGGTATGTAACCTTTTACTTTTAAAACTTTCTAGAATTTTCTTTTTCTTATACCATGTCCTGCTCTGTTTATAATTTTATACTTAGTTTTGGTCGAATGATGCATATAACCAATTTGAGGTGGATACATTAAAGAAAAAAACCTGTGATTTCAGTAATGCCTATTCACTTGAACCAAATGCAGGTGAACTTCTTTGTTAACGGATAAAAGTACGAATAATCATTGGCTGTATTTAAGTAATTACCTGCAGTGATGCTGGCATATTAGTTTTCTGAGTCTAATACGTTTGAACAATTACCTCGAGCCTTGAGAGGGGTTAGTTCACCAGAGTCAATACATTTCCACTGAATGATACTACTTCCAGAAGCTATAAATGCACGGTAATGCAGAATGGTCTTAAAGGCTTTGTTGTTTGGGACTTAAAGGCTTTGTTGTTGTTGTTGTAATGCAGAATGGTCTTATGAATAATCAACTGGTAACTGAATGTACATATTTAGTATTTGCACATATAAAACAGTAGTACTGATGGGCGAGTCGTACAGTACCATGACACCTGGTACATTGAACTTGTGTGAACTGTATGTATTTACTATTGTGTTAATGGGAATGTATTGTTGGGTGATACCCACCATAGTGCACAAACATACATAAATAGTTCACATTTGCTCAATATGTAGTTTGGACTAATACTAATACCATTAATGGTTACAGCATGCTAGTTGTTCAGACTTCCATCGGATGCATTTGATACAATATTACAGTCTACACACTATTCCTGGCTCTTATAACACGTGTTGTTTTGACTTTGGAACTGTCCAGGGTGATGTCTATCCTGTGGAATCTTACGAGAGCTTATCCATAAAACCATGTGCTTGATGCTCATTGGGGTGTTCTGGATGATGATGATGATGTAAGTATAGAGATTTCCATCATGCGATTTTCATTTAGTGCTACATGGACATTGCTGATTTGCTCTGCGCATAATTGCATCCTGAATCTAATTATAATGTGACTGGAGTGTGTTTTCATCTACACTTCCATTATGTTTGCAAGAAGTCAATTTGTAGGCAAAGCCTATCTAGTTTTAAGAAATGGTAATAATGCTTAACCTGCATGTTTATGTATACTGTTGTTATCTTGCAGCTGCTAATCCCAGTATTGATTTTGTGTGGTACAGGCAACTGGACTTCGCTCGCATACCCTCTCCATCCTTGTGAATGACTGTCCTGGTGTCCTCAACATTGTAACAGGAGTCTTTGCTCGCAGGGGCTACAATATACAGGTTTCTTTTTTAAAAGCTCTTTCTTCTTGTTGAATATAGTGCCAGACTAGTTATTGACAAGTGCATACTTGTCAGAGCCTTGCTGTTGGCCCAGCTGAGAAGGAAGGCATTTCACGTATTACAACAGTTGTTCCTGGTACTGTTGAATCCATTGAGAAGTTAGTTCAGCAGCTTTACAAGCTTGTTGATGTGCATGAAGTAAGCTGCATGTAATTCCTACCAAAATCATTTGTGTTTGCAAATTTATTATGTTAACTAACAAAAACATGTGATTCCTGCAGGTTCATGACATTACCCCTCACCTTTTGCTGAAAGGAACTGATGCTTATTAAGGTTTCTGTAAACACTGCTGCTCGGAGGGAAATCCTAGATATTGCGAAATCTTCCGAGCAAAACCTGTTGATGTTTCTGACCATACAGTAACGCTTCAGGTTGGCATCCTAACAATTTGTGTGTTTCTCCCAGATTTCCATCAGTGCCTTTGCCAACACTGATGATACTAGAGCCAGTTTTAGAAAAAGCTGTGCACACTGCACAGCCACAAATTAGATCACATTGCTTTTGTTGATTTTCTGCTGCATAGTGCCGCTTGTGGTAACAATAACAACATCATACCCATATAGAAACACTGAATGTTTGACACCAGTACTATTTTTTCATGCTGCTTCATCTAACTGCTCCAAGCTATTAGCTATTGCAAAACTCCTGCATAATGGATCCCTTATTGATGATTGCAGCTTACTGGAGATTTTGACAAGATGGTTGCACTACAAAGGTTATTGGAGCCATATGGCATCTGCGAGGTATGTTGCTTGTCACTTCACATCAACTTAAGTGTGAAAAGGCAATTTTGGGTCCTTTGGGATGAATGGACAGGCGTATACTTTTTATTTGATGCCAGCAGTTGTTTTGTTTTCTTCTGAGATTACTTTTGATTATGAAACAGAATATAAGCAATTGTGCACAATGCCACATGGTTAAATAGTCCTAAATAAAACTATTCGAAAGTACCCAGTGATTTTCTGTTGCAGCCAATTAGTACCGCCTTTTTTGCAAACGAGACCATTTCTAAGTTCTGTTAAGACTATAATGAAGCATATTCTAATTTGATTCCTCAGAGAAGCAATTACTGTACTGCTTAAGCTCTGTCATCAGATTTTACACCAAAAAAGCTTATTTGATGTTTTGTACACGGTCCTCACCATTGTGTTGCACACATGACAGGTCGCCAGAACTGGACGAGTGGCACTGGTCCGTGAATCGAAGGTCGACTCAAGTACCTACGCGGCTACTCTCTTCCATTGTAGCCTGGCATTTGTGATGATGGCTGGCCCGATAAAGAGCTTGGTTGGTTGTTATAGAGCAGACCATCTCGCGCTGGGTTGTGTTGTGCAATTACAGGACTTGTTTCTTTTATGTGGTGAACTCCTGGCCTCCGTGTTCAATAATGTCCTCCCCCGGTATATGCGCGTTGAGGTTGCATATGTATCCCATAGACGGTCAGAATAAGATGCATAGCGTACCTGTTTACTTCAGCGAAGAGAGATGCAGGCATCGTTCGAAATCAGCTTGCCTGCGTTTTGTCGTGCAGTTCTATTTATATATATACTGTATGGTGATTTCTGATTTGGTGAGAAGCGGAACATGTGGAGTCGTGGACCATCTCCACATCCACATCCACATCAAACGGGTAGGGTATGGGGAGAAATTATTTTACCCATTAGAAACGGATAGGTTATAGGTAATATCTATATCTATATACCTAATATTAAAAAGTTTTTTTTTTGTTTGGTCCATTCTGTTAGACCCAACCGAGGCAAAATTTCTGCCTTTTTTTCGTCTGGCCCATTCTATTAGACCCAACCGTTCTCACTCGCACGCTTCCGGCCCACTCGCTTGTGTCTAGCTTCTTCTCAATGCCGTCGCTCCTCCGTCGTTTCTCTCAGTCTTCCGCACGCGACCAGTACGGCATGCGCTGCCGCCTCCCGGCACAGCGTCCTCCCCACCACCGCCTCCCAGCACAGCGCCCTCCCCACTGCCGCCCGCCCGTCTTGCTGCGGCGTTGCGCCACCGATGGCTCCACTCCTCGATGCCCCGAGCTCCGGCGACCCTACACCCCACGTTCTCGGCAGCTTCGCGCCGAAGCCCGGCCTAGGCCCTGCTCGCCCCCCCTGCGGCTCCGCGCCCGTTGTCCTCCACCCAGAGGGAGACACCGCGGGAAGCAACGGAGAGTGGGCGGGCGCTGGTCTCCTACGGCGGCGGAAGTGCTGCCACAGGGGAGCCAGACAGCCAGGTCCCAGTGTAGCGAGTCGGAATCAGAATCCAATCCAACGAAGACACCAGCTCGGATCGGGACACCAGCATAGATCCGGAAAAAATTCCATGGTAAGTTCAACAAGAACTCCACGTTCAACAGAAACTCCTTCACTTTTTCCCTGTTTATATATAGATTAGAGATTTCGGTTGAAAAAGGTGCCATTGGGATATCATGTTCTCACATGCTTCCAATCTTGATCTTGCCAAGCTGAACAAATTCAGAACCACAAGAACTGTATAAAGATACTTATTCAGGAAATATAATATTTTGCTAACCACAAGAACTGTATAAAGATACTTACGGGCCCATAACTATGAATGAGAAAACAATGAAAATTGGTAGATGCTATTTGTCTCCTTTGCTTCAGATATGTAGATTGGTATCATAGGCATCTGTATGTAATTTAAGCTGTGCTAATTGCCCAGTGGTTAAATTGCTCTATCTAGGTTAATTTGCTCATATTATCGACAGAGAGTTGATGAAGGTTACAAAGGTTTGGTTTTCTTTGTGCTTTGCATGGAACAAAAATGGTCTACAAGCATTTGGCCACACTGTACTTTGTTTTTGTCTTTGATAGCTCTGAGAATGAGGCTGCCATGCTCGATCTCATACAAGGTAATATAATGGTTTATCGATGAAAGGGGAAAGCATTGTCATTTTTCTAAGAAACGAATTATATTCAGTGTGTTATCATGCCATTCACCTGTTTGGTCTGCCTTACTCCATAACCATTTAGCTATTTATTGTGCTTCTTTCAGCATTCAATCACCCTTGCATTCAGTTTTTTATTCTTTTTTTTTAACATAATAGCAGGAGCTTTGCCTTTCAATTAAGAAGAATTCAGCTTTTTATTTTGTACTAGGTTAATGCCCGTGCGTTGTAACGGAAGCCAAAAGAAATATTATGTTCCGATGATTTTTTCTGGTTGGCACCTAAATTTCTGTCCACTGAATTATGGTTTGAGGTGTTTGTTAAGTGGTCAGCTGCTGTTGCTTGATGTTTGGGATTCATTTGGGTCGTTTTTTAAGTTGTAGTCGACCATGTGTGTTATGCATTTTTGACGGGTTCTCATCAGCGCCGCCAACAACAAGCAGCATGGCGCTGGTATGAATGAAATTAGAGTCAAAACTGACGCTAACAATGGTGCTATCTTCCTGTACTACAACTGAAGCGGTGTCCCTGTCAACATCCACAAAGAGGATATCTACAGACCGGAGGCGGTATTCAGCAGCTACCGCACCAACAACAAGTACAAGGACGTTGTGGTAGCCAATATCTTGTCCACTCTATGCATTGTCCAGACATATGACGGGTACAAAAAAAGTACAAACAGGTAAGTAGTTTTTCCAAATGGTGTCAATTTTATGTTTTGGATTACTCAAGGTTTAGAAGTGGAGATTCTTTGTGCAAGTTGAATGATAAGAATGTAGGTTTAGTAATAGAATTTCCAGCTATTTAGGGTTTTTAGTATCTGTCCATAATCTCTGGTCTGGTGTATCAATCATGGTACAATTTTACAGTTGGATATCTGTTTTTAGTGCTTATACATAATAAAAGACAGCTAACCAACCAGTTAGATGACGATGATGCCCTTAATCTGAAGTACTTAACTAGTTTTGTACTGGTAAGTGGATGCTAAAGTTGTGAGGAAATTTCGGTAAGGTTTAATAGTAATGGATAAGCCTTTAATTCATTGCTTCACTCGAAAAAAAGTTATTTTAATCAAGCTAATTTAAAGCTGAAAAATGGACTTTGATGGCATAGTCAGTGCAAATTCATTATATATGTCTGATGTTACTTCAGAGGAAGAAGGCTAATAAAGTGCAGCAGACCCCTTTTCCAGAGACAGACTTAATGTTCCTTCTTGAATAAAGTGCAGATATTCTTTGAAAACATGGTCAAGAGAAAGAAGGCTGAAATTTCCGATTGGAAGGATAGAAATAAGTGGACCAGTATTACTTTCAAGCCTGATCTTGCAAAGTTCGGTATGTCTAAATTAGATGATGATATTGTTGGCCTCATGAGGAAGAGAGTAGTTGATTTTGCGGGCTTGCTTAGCAACACTGTGGATCTGCTAAATTGGATGGAGAAAAGCTGCATGTAAATAGCTTCTTAAAATATGTAGATTTGTACATTCACTCAGCTTCCAAGGACATTTTTCAAGCACCCTCAGGCTTATAAAGTTTCTTGTCACATCCACAAATAAAACCTATGTTGTCTCTGATGACATTCTCATTTCTTTCAGGATACATGAGATTGTAAATGACAGGTGGGAGGTATGCGTGTGTCTAAGAGAAGGGCAACAGTTTGAACAGGTAAGTCTGGATTATGTTCCATGCGAGTAGCTTCTCTATTGTGGTTTAAGTGACCTACCTAAATAGTTTTTTTTGTTTGTTGCGAGATCAGCTTTGTCAACCAGTTTGCAACAACAAGGGTGGAACTCATGTTGATTATGTGGCTGACAAAATTGCCACCCATGTGGCAGATACAATGAGTCAAAGTAGCAAAGATGCTTCGTTCAAAGCACAAACTGTGAAAAGCCATTTATGGATTTTCATTAATTCTTCCATTGATAACCCGACCTTCGATTCATAGCCCAAAGATAGATTAATAATATCCCCCATTACAAGCTTTGGATCAACGTGAATATCACCCATTACAAGCTTAAAAGCCTTAGTTTGGTTTTGGATAATTGATTAAATCTATGCACTAACCTTTGTCATGAGTGGTGATATGAGCTAGGTTGGTGTAATCCAAGTATGAAGCATGGTGGCATTCAAGAGAAGGTGACGATCACATGAAATGATGAGATGGCCACATGTGATGATGATCAAGTGCTCAACTTCGAAAAGAAGAAAGAGAAAAAACAAAACCCTATGGAGATCAAGGCAAAGGTATAAATAGGGGTTTTGTTTCGGTGATCAAGACACTATAGAGAGTGTAATCACATTTATGATAGATGGCCGTACTATTAAGAGGGGTTTTTAACTAGACAATTCGGTCATCTAGTGCAACTAGGTGTTGGACTTCATGCACTGCATTTAGGTCTAGTGCACATCGGAGAGCAAGCAAAAATATTTGTCGAAAATGTTTTGAGAAATGCTGACTTAGGCTCTAACATGTTTTGAGAAAACACTTTGAGAGCTAGCATCGCTTGCGGGGAGTTGCTCGAGTTGACGAGGATCGAAACGCGAAAAAGTTTGCATCTCGGAGAGCTAGTGGTGGCATCGAGAGCAGCAACTTCGGGGTGGTCACTGCCCCTACCGGTGTACACCGCCACTGGCACGGCGGTGCATCGCCGTACGACGTCTGGTGCCACCGTCACTTTTCGGCAGAGAGCAGAGGCAACCGAGGGGGGGGGCACCGCCATTGGTGCGGCGGTGCACCGCCCTAATTATCCAGAGAGCAGGGAAAACAGGGGGCTCGGCAAGGTGGTCACCGCCACCCCCATGGCGGTGCCATGCACCGCCCTGTCCAGTGACCGTGTAGAAACCAGCTCCATTGGGTAACGGCTCTATTTGCTTGTGTGGCTATAAATAGAGGGTGTGGCCAGCCTTGGCCACTCTTTTGGCACCTCTTACACTTGTACACACCATTTGAAAGCTGAGCAACACACTCCACTCACTTGTTCACTTGATTTCATCATCTTGAGTGAGATTGGAGAGTCTCTAGTGCACTGCATTGAGTTGCATCATCTTGTGACACTAGTTGGGTGATTTGGGCTGGTTGTGAGCTTGTTACTCTTGGTGTTTGCCGACACATAGACGGTCTGGTGATTGGAGGATCGTTGAGCGGAGTTGGTGATTGTCTCCGACCTCGATCGGTTGCTTGTGAGGGGTCATGTGCCTTCCCCAGTGGAGCGCCAAAGGCAACTCTAGTAAATTGCTCGTGTCATTGAGCTACCTCACTTGTGGGTAGGTTCTTGCGGTGCCATTTGTTGGCGAGATTCGTGCAACATCTCTTAGCCACTGAACTACGAAGTGTTGATCGACACAACGGGGACTAGCGTGCCGGTAAGCAAGTGAACCTCGGGAGAAAAATATTATGTCTTTTGTGTGATTGGATTTCTCTCGATGATTGAATTGTCTATTTATTGTGATTGGTTCATTCATCGACGCGGCGGTACGATCACCCTACTCACTCTATTACTTTCTTGCAAACTACTTTTAGCAAGCTCTTTAGTATAGCTAAATTTGTGAGCTTGCTGTTGGAGTTAACAGAGAAATAATCAGCCAGGGCAACTCTCCCAGGCGACTGCATTGCAATATATAGAGGATAAGTACTGCATTGATTACATACAACTCACTAGAGCTTTAACTAGACAGAATATCTGCCTGGGTACCCGCACAACTCTTGGGCTACCCAAGGACTTAATGACATAGATTAACTAAAAACTTAAGTACACTAAATGTGCCTGGGAAGCAGGGCTTACAGCTACACTTGCTTGGTAGCTTAGATTCATTTAGTGGAGCTCTTTAGTGTGGCCTTGTTGAGAGCTCTTAGTGAGTAGTGACTTAGCCCCTTGTTTGTCTAGAGATCATAGCAACTAGAATTGTTGGATATGCGGCTTGCAACCCTTATAGAGTTAGAGCAAAATTGCATTACGCCGTTTGTCATACTAATCAATTACTCTAGTGTTCTTGTAGATTTTTAAATAGACTATTCACCCTCCTTTAGCCATATTAGGACCTTTCAAAGCTTTGGATAAACGTGTGAGCTTTCTGAGAAGTTTTGGAAAGATGTTCTGTTCTGTTCACTTTGGTAGTCTTAGATTGTGTGACTTGGATGCGCACTAATGATCACTTCTTCTAACTGTAGTTGAAAACCTCGGCAAGGTCTTCCTCCATTCTAATTTGAAAATAAGCAAGGAGCATGTGGAAACTGATGGACTGGAGAAGTCCAAAGTCACTGCCATCTAGAAGCTCGAGGATGCGCTCTGTGCTGGTACCAAGGACTCCCATAAGTGCACCCTAATTCTAACCGAAGGGGGTTCAGCCAAGACCCTTGCTGTGAGTAATACAACCTTGTTTAATGCGGTATTGCATTTTTACTACAAAATTGAACAAATTTGAGCCTTTACCCTGCTGATGGCTGGTCTATCTGAAGTCAGGAGTGATTACTTTGGAATATATCCTCTAAAGGGCAAAGTATCAAATATTAGGAATGCAAATCCTTAGGTCATGGGAAATAGTGAACTACATAACATAATGAAAATTCTTGGTTTACAATATAGGAAGGAGTATAATAGCACAGAAGGGTTAAGATATGGTATGCTGACGGTATGGGAAGGAGTATGATAGCATAGAAGGGTTAAGATACGGACAAGGTAAGATACGGACAACTTATGATAATGGCCGATCAAGTTCGTGAGAAATTCTAACGATGTTCCGTATTATTCATATTTTCTCTAATGTTACTGATTTATTTATTTGTTTATATTTCAGGATGATGAGGGTGCTCACATTAAAGAATTGCTGATAAATTTTATTCATTCTTATTAGCCATCACTTCTTAAGCTTTCTTTCTTGTCAGATTTTATCACTCCAATTATGAAGATAGGGTAGCAGTCGACATGCATCTTTTTTGTATTAACAATGTTTATTCGTGATTTTATTCTTATTTTCAGTTTGAAAGAGTTATTATAATTTTTATATCCATATTTTGTGAATTTGCTGGTTGGTCGCACTGATAATTGAATTTACTGTCTAGGCAACGAATATCGAGGACAGAAGTGTGCTACCGTTTTACACCAAGGCAGCTTACGATGAATGGAAAGCATGTGTTAGGATGATTCAAGTGATTTGTGGTCTATAAAATACTATATTGTTTGATTCTGATTTCTTCTAATCTTGACTCACAATTTCCATAGGATATAGTCATTAGTTGAGAAGTCTTAGTTTTTTGGTTAATAGAATCGTGATTGACAATAGGGGCTTGGAACAAGCACGGTTGAAGAAGAGGGGCAATATTTTAAGTATATCAGCAATCATAGGAGAAATTTTATATAAGTTGATGAGGAGTGTTACTAATCTTGGGAGAAGATAAGCACTCACTCCATTAGTGGAGAGGTATATATAGACACTCATATGGGTCATATGCCCATACATGCCAATAGTAGATGAGTCTTTACTTAAGGAAAAAGTCCACCTTACTTTCTTCAACTCTTGCGAAAGTCTGCTTTTCCTCTCTGAACTCTAAAATCAGGTAAATCACCTCCCTGAACTTTTAAAACCGTTTGTTTTACGTTTGTTTTACCTTCTTGACCGGTTATAAGTGGTTATCAAAGGTGGTTTATTTTTTTTCTTTTTATTTATTTTGGCTGAATCTTTAAAAATTATAGTAAATCATAAAAAAATCATAAAATTAAAAATACAATTTTGTTGGACTCGATATGAGTAGATCTATAGAGTGAACATATAATATGATATGCTTTATGAAAGGATCTAACAATGCCTAGAGGGGGGGTGAATAGGCGTATCTAAAAATTTACTGCAAAGGCTAAGTTCAATTCTGTTAGTCACTGTCGGAAGTCCCGACGTTTGGGTCGGAACTCCCGACGTTGTCAGAAGTTCCGGCGCAAACGTCAGCAGTTCCGACGCCTACGAGAACTACAAAAGCAGTGCCAAATTTAACTTTGCGGATAAATGAACTTACAACCTTTTTTCCTAGTGGTTTGGTGAAGATGTTGGGTTACTCTCTTGACGCCGTAATGCCTCCAAACCGTAGATCGAGTCCAAACCCTAAAATAGAAATTTGGGAGAGAGAGAGAGACAAACACATACAAGTAATATCTAGCAATCACAACAACAAGCACACGGGACACAAAGATTTATCCCGAGGTTCGGAACCCCACTAAGGAGCTCCTACGTCCTCGTTGTTGAGGTGACCACAAAGGTCGGAGTCTTTTCCACCTCCTTGCCTCTCTCTAAGCGACCACAAAGGTCACTTGAGCTTTCCACTAAGAAATCGAGGGGTAATACAAACTTCCCGAGGATCTTCCACAAGATGGAAGCTCTTGGGCGACGCCTAGCCGGCTAGGGGTAAAACCCCAAGAGTAATAGACGCAAAATCAACCGGCTTGACGAAGAAATCAAGTGCTCAAGCTTTCCCAAGTGATGCTCTCACTTAATCCACTCTCCTTTCAATCAAACCCTAAGGGAATTGAAGATTGGAGCAAAGGGGGAAGGAGAGGGGTGCTTTGGTTGCTAGGGAGCTGTTCAGCACGAAGTGAGTCAACTGTGAAAATGAGTCCGTAACGGTTAGAAGAGAAGAGAGGAGTATTTATACTCCAAGTGAAAATCCAACCGTTCAGATCTACGTCGGAAGTCCCGACGCAGATCCCGGAAGTTCCGACTACAACAGAAAACACTGTTCACAACGAGTCAGAAGCCCACGGGAGAAAGTCAGTGTCGGAACTCCCGGCAAACGTCGGGACTTCCGACGGTCGGAACTCCCGACGATCGTCGGGACTTCCGACGAGCACAGTTAATCAAACAGCCAGCACTGCTGAGGCCGGGACTCCCGGCTCGGGTCAGGTCAGTGTCGGAACTCCCGGCGAACGTCGGGACTTCCGATGGACGGAACTCCCGGCGAAC